TTTATGACTTTTTAATAGTTAAATGTGGATTCGTCACACTTTTTTTTATTAAAAAAGTAATTAAAATGTTATTGTAAGCATTTTAATTTTTTAGTGACTTTTGGCACTTATTGGGGAATTCCACTGAAATTGGCCGACAGGGTGAAAGGGTTAGGGCCTTGAGACCCACTAATCCCCCACCCAAGAAAGGGTGACTTGTCATTCCCTCCCTGTAAATTCAGTTGCCTCTGAAGATGTCTTGAATAAGGACGAAAGCTAAGGTGCTCCAGTGTGAACCGGCTGGTTAATTCAAAGTTTACCAGGCTGGTACATTGGGCTTTAGTAACAAATCCCAATTGAAGTTTCTGCTTTTATTAAATAGTATTGCTTATATAATTCCTGAGTGTAGATCAACCATAACTTCCACTATTTATGAGCGTGAAGAGAGAGGACGGCGGCTATGTAAATAGACCGTTTAATCACGTCCGTTCGATGTAAGAGTATGAGTGTGACTAGCGTGGGTGCCGGCTTATTCCGAGCTGACCCATGTGCTGACATACAGTCAATGGGCTGTACCCAAGGAGGCCACCAATTACGTGATATGAGCATGACAACTCATAGCTAGTGAAAAGTTACAGGGGGTGAATTAGTATATACAGTGGTCCCTCGGTTAACGAGCATAATCCGTTCCAGCAGGTTGCTCGTTAACCGAAAATCTCGTTAACCGAAACCATTGTTTCAATGGGTTTTTGGGTAATTGGTTCCAGCTCACCAAAAATTGCCTAAATTCAACAAAAATGTTAGAAATTGACACTTAGTTTGAGGTGTATATGTAGAAGGCTCCTGGATGATGATGCTGATGTGAACTTGAAGTGGGAGGAGGAGAAGGGAGAAGAGAAGGAAGTGGAGGTGGAGGAGAAGCATTTTACTGCTTCTTGGAAGGTGAGTCACCTTCCATGAAAATGTCAGGAACCTCTGGACTGACATTTTCTCCACCATGAACATCCTCTCTCCTTCTTGAAGTGGAAGGCTGAGGGCTAGCATCATCCTCTCTCCTTCTTGAAGTGGAAGGCTGAGGGATAGCATCTTGTTCCCTCTGCCTTTTATTGAAGAAAGTGTCAATTGTGGTCTGTGGGGCATCTCTCCTCCTCACCATTAACTTGTGTTTAAAGAAGGAGACCATTGAGTCCTCAACATGACACAAAGTTAGTTAAGTTTTTTCCACATCTGGGTGCCTTGAAGCCAGTTCCCTGAACTTCTCCCAGTGGTAAATCACATCTTTCAACTCTTTAGTTAACATATGGTCATCACTTTCAATTTCCTCCTCACCATTGTCAGCCTCTAACATCTCATCCAGTTGCTTCAAGTCATCAGGAGTAAGTTCCTCCTCATGAGACATCACAAGCTCTTCGACATCATCCTCTTCCACTTCAAGGCCCAATGACTGACCAGTGGACACAATCTCCTGGTCCAACTCTGTGTCATCGTGAAATCCCTCAAAATCATGGACTACTGATAGCCACAGTGCTTTCCATGAAGAATTGAGGGATCTAGTGGAGACTTCTTGCCATGATGACACAATCAATTTTACAGCCTCCAAGATGTTGAATTGTGTCTTCCAGAACTGTTTCAGTGTTAGTTTAGGTTCATTGGAAGTTGCCTGATGACACCTAAACATTTTCTTCATGTACAACTTCTTGAAGTTGCTGATCACATTCTGGTCCATTGGCTGTATGATTGATGTAGTGTTGGGAGGCAAAAACAACACTTTCACAAGGTCAAATTGATACTCCAAAGTTCTGGCAAGTTCAGGGTCATGACCAGGAGCATTATCCACGAGGAGAAGAGCCTTTAAAGGGAGTTTATTGGTGGTTAGGTAGCTCTTGACAGAAGGGCAAAACACCTCAACAGCCCATTCATTAAAGAGCTGTCTTGTCACCCATGCCTTACGGTTGGACTTCCAATAAACTCCAAGCTTTGCTCTTACCACTTTCTGTTGCTTGAACACCCTGGGGTTTTCAGAGTGGTAGCCGAGCATAGGCTTCAATCGGAAATCCCCTGAAGCATTGGCACCAAGCAATAAAGTGAGACGGTTTATGCCCAGGTAAAGAGGCTTCATCTCTGGTGATGAATGTTCTTTTGGGCATCTTTTTCCAGAACAGCCCAGTTTCAACAACATTGAACACTTGCTGTGGAAGGTAATTTTCTTCTTCCATCAATTCTTTAAATTCCACTAAAAACTTTGCTGCCCCTTCCTTATCAGCACTAGCAGCTTCACCATGCCTAACAACACTGAAAATGTCACTTCTTTTCTTAAATTTTTCGAACCAGCCTTTGCTGGCCCGAAAATCTTCAAATTCTGTGCCTGAAGAACCAGGTTGATCTGTCTTTAAATGTTCGTAAATCTTCCTGGCTCTTTCACAAATGAATTCAGTAGAAACTGAATCCCCTTCATTTGCTTTTCCTTAATCCAGATAAGAAGTAACCTCTCAGTTTCTGCAATTAGGGATCTACTTTTAAACACTGGTAGATTTGTCTCTCACTTTCATTTCTTTAAATTTGTCTTTCTGTGCAAGAATTGTCGACACAGTTGATGTCGACATGCCATATTCTAATGCCTTCTTCATGTTTTTTTATAATTTCCTGCTTGGTTTGGATTGAAATCGCTTTTCTTGATCTCTTAGGCCCCATGCTGGATTCAAACAATGTCAACACGTGATTTTTAAAGTTAAACTAGCTGTAAATAAAGAATATTTTCTTTAAAATAACACTGCACTGCGCTATATATTGTCAATATGTAAAATAAATTTCAAAATGACCAATAATTTGCTTGGAAACACAGAAAAAAAGCATTTAGTTGAAGAGAGTCTCAAGCAAGATGTTACCTCCACTGAAAACAGAGAGAGACTAACGCTTGTTTGGTGTGTTTAAAGAATGGATGGCGCGCCACAAACTAGTGACTTTACCTTCAATTATGTTCAATAATTGTTAAAATGACTAAAAAATTTAATATTAAACTTGTAAAATTATTGAATAGTATAAAGTTCTTGATATTTACTAAAATTGTAAGGAATTTAAGCCCTAGAACCGATTACTATATTGGCGGACTAATACTACAGCTGGTTGACCGCCAAGTGCAAGCGAAAACATGTTGAGGTCGGCTCGTAAGAAACTCGTTAACCGAGGAAGTGCTCGTTAACCGAAATTAAGAATCTTATGGGAGGTAACTCGTTAACCGAGGCGCTCGTTAAGCGAGGGATCACTGTAATTCAAATGTAAAAACCCCATTTATATAATACTTCTGTTGGTGAGACAGGGGCCATTACAAGTGTATACTTAATTGACCGAGAGCTCGACTGAGTGGAAATTTCGATTTAACGAAGAGGTGGCTGGAATTAGTTCATTTAATTCAGAAATACTGTATTTAGATAACTATATTTACTGTACATGGATGATGATAAAAATAATAGTACAGTAATAAAGTTGTCATAGGTATACTAAAGAACTTATTGAGGGGAAATAAAATTACTGTAATGACAGATGCTGGTAGAAAAACAAGAATCATTGTATGTACACTATAGATAATGATTCAGAATATGTGGAACTGATTAGTAGAGAATATCTCAATGGGAACCTAAGGTAGAAACTGGGAAGGATGAATAAAATTAAAAACTGGGTACCCAGAGAGGTACAAAACCTCGGAGGATTGGTAAAAACAGCCTAAGAATGTTTAGAGTGGAGAACTGTGGTCGCCGACTCTAAGATATGTGAACGGTACTCTGATTGATTGATATTGAATGCATTGTTTGGATTTGCATAGAGGTTAAGGTAAAGCAAAGGTGTAGATATTGGTACTACTCTATTTAGGCATGGCACCGGTTTTCAGAACTTTGGCTCATTAGCAGTCTGTATTGTAGTAATGCTACTGCCTGACAGACATGGAGACATTGCGACTAGGCCTTTGGTTTAACCATCCAGATATATCAGTACATGTTCACATGCATTGGTTTGATGTGTTTTGTTTAGTCCCTTGCCCCATGAAAAACAGTTTATGTAATACTGTGAACATTACAGTATTGCTCTATCCACTGGTCCAGTATGTTGCAGTAGATGAGGAATTACAGAAATATGTTTTTTTTTTCAGTTCCTATGCGGTTATCTCTAGTACTTTATTTTATCTCATAATTCCTTTAGGAGTAGTAACTCTGACTGACTCAAAAAAAGAAAAGAACACCAAGTCAAACACTTTTTTTTCCTATTCCTTCTCTCTGCCGTCTGTATGTGTGACTGTCCCACAATTAAAGGGAGTGACAATGACTGGAAAGTCTTCAGACCAGTAATCTGTATGTAAGTAGATCTCCTGAAACTGTTTCATTCTCCTCACACCTGGATGACACCTTTAATGAATTTCCCTTGCTCTCTCCCCAGGATGTTGTCTGCCTTCCCCTTACCACCTTTAACTACTTATGTGTCTAAGCTGAATAATGTTGAGTGGGATTCCTTAATGAAAAAGGTTAATCTCACTGTATTATATTTATTTTTTTAACTCCTATCATTAAAAAGCTTAATAAAACTTACCCCACCCAACTCTTTAACCCCGTAACCGTATTTTGGATTTCTCAAATATTTAAACACCACAAAACCACAGACTTAAACATTTAGCTCCAACCAGTGACCTTTGCATGTGAACCTATTGTGTTTTTTGCATTACTGTGCATAGGTTGCAGTAGGGTATATTACTTCCCATATGATGAATAGAAAATCGAGGGGATCTGTACCAAAACATCACTCTTTTCATTGTGCTTAATCTTACAGCCTGTAGTTAACTTTGAGGGAGGGTAAGGCATATGTAGATACACAACAAAAAGTTACACCCAGGACGTATTCTTATTGTAACAGGACATATGAATTATTTTATGAGATTTATTTTTTGTTTATTCTGACCAATGTGTGATAAGAATATTAATCTGTTTATTGTGTGTTGAGCAGCTTCTGAGTAAAAATAATTTGCTTGTTTCCAGCTCTATGATCATTCGAAGCCAGCACCCCAGCTTCTTATTGATGGATGGAATGCTTGGTTTTATGAAGATTCAAATTCCTTGGTGAGTTTAATATCTTGCTATTCAAGTAGTTTATAAGGTTGTTATTCACTTATTGCACTGTAAAATGCATATGTAGTCTACAAAAATTTTTCTCAAATAGCTGGGCACGACAGATTTCAGAATGAGCACTATGGCTCTTGTCATCTCAGAATGGTTGGTATGCCTGGTTGCTAAGTGACTCAATATTTTGTAATATTATATGTTGTTCATCTTTATAGTGGTTACAGGTGAAAATAAGTAATTTAATTTGTAACAGAACTTCCTCTGAGAGCAATATTCAGATCTCTCGTACGTTTTGTCACTGTATGACGCTTAGAGCATTCAAGAACTTTTTTCCTGACTTTACATTGGATGGAAAAAAGAAACAACAATTACTGTACTGTATTTTTAATATCTTTTTTACTGAAGACCTCACTGATTAAGAATAATATTTAGTTAATAAGGCATTTATCTCAAACGAGTATTAGTTTCCATTATATTTCTCAACAGCAACGTGCATGGAAGGATTATGGCAAGAATAAAGAAACTGTGGGACAGTTGTGGGTCTCCATGTTATGCTACTACACTGAGACTTTTAACTGGAAAGAACATGTGGTTACTATTCGTCAGTTGGCACCACTCACACGGTTGCAAAAGTTATGGAATTCTCGCTGTATTGTCATTGAAGATCCCTTTGACCTGAGCCATAACTTGGGAGCAGGTCTGTCAAGAAAGAGTAAGTTTCACAGTATAGGTTTTTTGAACTTGATTTTATTGTATTTTATTTAATTTTTTTTGTTAAATAATAATTGACCATTATCCTCCACACTGCCATGAAGTAATAATCTTTATTTTGACATTTTATACCCAAACTTGAGCTTCAGAATGTATGGTACAGTGAGTTCTGCTATAACGCGTGTTTTGATAACGCGAATTTGCTCTAACGCGATTTATGAATTAGGAACGATATTTGTATAACGCGAACGCTTGTTTGCTATAACGCGATTTTTGCTTACTATTTCTCCAATTTTGTGGTATTAACTGTGAATATGGTAAAGAAGAATATCTCCAAGAAGCGTTCTGGTGATAGAATTCCTGGTGATGATCGTAAAAGAAAGGATATAACACTTGAAGAGAAGCTCGATGTTATCAACCTCAAAATCACCCTTCTCCCCCATCAAGTTACATTCATATTTTTTCAAGGTAAAGTGTTACATTTACTGTATGATTTCATTATTAGATTTGAATGTAACATTTATTTAGACTGTGCTATCCTTTGTGTTAGGCTAACTACTAAATTTTTTCGATTTCGAGTAATCTGCACCTAACCCTATTTTCTCCATAAGCCCTGTTATTTCTATTACGCGATTTTCTATAACACGATATTTTACAAGAACACAATTATCGCGTTATAGCAGAACTACCTGTACTAATAGGTTCTGCTGCTTGTGGATTTCTAAGATGAATTTTGTTTCCATTGTGGCTTTTAACCATAGAAGTCCAGGATCTTTATGAATTATCTTGGCCTTGGTGCCATTATATATAGTACTGTATTTACATTCTGCGTTATGACCTTGAAAGTGAATTCTGATTCAGTATTAAATTTTGTCAGATTTAAAAGACTTATACCTGTACACAATTTCATCATAAAAGGGACAGATTGTGTTTCATGGACCAGTTTCCACTGTGCCAAGTTGGGACAGGGAAACTACAGTTGGGTCTTCATTTACGCGGTCAATTGAACCCACGTTGTACCGCATAAAACGAGAAACGCGTAAATGAAATAACATATGGGATTAATTGAAATAGACACTGGGCCGACCCCCAAACTCCACTTTTTCAGACACAATACCTACGTTGTAGTGAAAATAGTATCTTAACTTTATGATGGTATGCATACACACATAATATAGAAGAGAAATATCAGTAAGAGAATAATATACTGTACCAGGTAAAAGAAAAATCAAGGTTTAACACTTACGTCAGGTTAGGTTAGAAAAAAATCAAGGTTTAACACTTACATTAGGTTAGAAAAAATCAAGGTTTAACACTTACATAAGGTTAGGTTAGAAAAAATCAAGGTTTAACACTTACGTCAGGTTAGGTTAGGTTAGAAAAAATCAAGGTTTAACACTTACGTAAGGTTAGGTTAGAAAAAATCAAGGTTAGGTTAGGTTTAACACTTATGTTAGTAGAAGAGATGGGTCGGCGTACGGGAATGGCGGCTGGTTCCGAGGCAGAGGGCAGATTACTGGCCCTCAGGTGAATCACCATCACTATCCACCACAGTTGTCAGGGCCTCCCTGACAAATCCCTCAAAGTCACCATCACTGTCACTATCACTGGCTTGGGCTGGCTGTGGTCGGTTGCGGGCGAAGAAGTCTGTGATGTTACGCTGACGGCTAGTGTTGATGTTGTCGTGATACACCTTGATGTACGGCTCCATAGTGTGCAACAGCTGGTTATTGAAGACTTCATCGCGGTTATCGTCAGGGTCGTTGGAAAAGATGAGCTTCAGTTTCTCTGCACACTCGATGGCATCCTTTACATTACCGTGCGTTAACTTGTGTTCTTCTCAGGATGACGCACCACCTGCCTCTTCACTGACATCATCGTCTTCTAAAGCTCGTCGGCAGTCACCTCAGGATCCCTTATCACGTCCATAATGTTGTCGTTGGTGGTCTCGGAGAAGCCTGCAGCTGTAACACTCTGCGCAGCTTCTCTTGCAAGGTCCACTGCCACTGCAACAGACTGAACCTCACCAGTCACAGGTTGACTCTGCCTCCCACCTGGGATACCTTGCAACACATGCTGCCATGCGTGACGAATCGTTGCTACAGACAGCTGATCCCATGCCTCCACCAAGAAGTCAACAGGTTTCTTGACATTAAATTTCTTCCGAAACTGTTTGACGCGAACTTCTTGATCCGCCAACTCTTGTTCCTCGTCCTCGTCGCTCTTGCTATCGGTGTCACCCAGGTTACGCAACTCATCCTTGGTGTTGGTACAGTCGTTCAGGAGTTTAAACTTCTTTGCAGAGAATGCAGTCTTAACGTTGCATATCAACTCCTGGTCCATGGGCTGGATTAACGACGTAGTGTTGGGAGGAAGGAAGACCACTTTTACGTTGGGGTGATGATCCAACAGTATGGGCCAGTGTCCTGGTGCGTTGTCAAGGAGCAACAAAATGTTGAATGGAACATTCTGTTGCTCGCAGAATTTCTTGACGTCTGGAACGAAACAGTCGTCAAACCAGGAGAGGGACAGAGCAGAGAACATCCACGCCTTTACGTGCGGTTAGCCAGTGGACATTTAGCTTGGTTATGTCCATGTTCTTGTAGGCATGCGGCTTGCGGGCTGTGTGGATCACCGATAACTTGAGTTTACAGGTACCGGAGGCATTGGTGGTAAACAAAACGGTGATGCGCTCCTTCTACAACTTCCGGTCATTCTGTAATTTAGTTCACATATTGATTATATATAGTGCAGAAATTATACTGAAACATGAAGAAGGCATTAGAACCAATGCACTCTGTAAAGAATATGGCATGTCATCATCGACTGCCTCTACAATCAGCTGTTTGATATGTAAACAAAGCTGCCGGGAATACGACATACACACTTAATCGTAAGTTAAAATATAGTACAATCTCTCCTCGATTTACGACAACCCAGACATACGACGGCCATGGTGGTATAAAATATTTTTCACATTACGTATTTTCGAGTCCCGACGTTAGTGATCGCGCTGTGTACTGACAAAATTTTTGTTTGTAATTCCCTTTAAAATGGCTGGCAAGTGTAAAAGTGATAATTCTCGTGATGCTGAGAAGAAAAAGACACCCATTTTAGAATTTCTATGTATTATTTTCGCCTTTTTGACTTATGACCAATTCGACTTACGACCTGGTCGTCGGGACAGAACCCCGTCGTAAGTTGAGGAGAGACTATATTCTATTGTTTTTTATTTATTATTATACAGTATACTGTACAGTACAGTACTGTATTTAGTTTATATTTAATGTTTTGTTAATTTTGTTACCGGTATACAGTACTTCGAAATAATAGATTCAGTTAGCAAAATTTTCGGTTAACGAAAGACTCTGTGGAACCAATTGTGTTCATTAATCGAGGGACCACTGTATTTGTTCAAACTGAAACCCCAATTTTTTACTATAAAATATCCTAAAAACTCAGCTTATGCCCAGGGGGGTTACTGCCAGCAGCACCCTAACCTGGAGCTTAACCCTTAGGCCCTGGGTGACGTTCCAGAATGTCCGCCTATTCCTGTCTTTTTTTTTTTGAAAGGTTGATTTTTTCTCGATTTATCCCCGCAGGGAGGGGGGGGGGATACTTCCAGCACCACCCTAACCCGGGGCTTAAGGGTTAAGGGTTAATGAAGCAACATGCAGAATAATTTGTGTAAAGGCTAGCTGTAAGAGTGTTACTCCATTAAGTGCAACTAAAGTCCTTTTTGTTCTTGATAAAGGAATCAATGGAAAACCTGAACACCAAACTGAACAAAATATTGTGGTAAGTTTACAAGTGAAAGAAAATGAAATTTTAAGCCTTTTTGTGTCTGTTCCTAATGATTTCTTCATAAATTTTTTTATAATTATGCACTTTTATAATATCATTTCATGGTTTACATTAACCCCTTACTTTCTCTCTCTTCACTCTCACCTGCACACATCACTATCATATTACAATACACATATCTTCATGGAAAATTAGTGTCCACATAACATGATTTCACTTGAGATGGCATTTTTCTGGAGCACATCTAGCGTGTTAAATGAGAAAATACTGATTCAATTTCAATTGTTTATTCCTTGATAGAGGAAGCAGGATCCTAGTGCTGTCACTAGGTACCCCTGTACAATAACACCAGAAGCATCTGGCAAGTGTGACAAGTATATACAGTATAAATATTATAAAGGGGCTTACTAAAGCCTAAGGAAGGAAGGATATTCCTTTAACTCATAATCAATGTTATTTACATAATATCTGGCCAGTATGGGGAGGATCATCGTGTCTCCGTTAGTATAGTATACTGATTATTATTTGTTCCCCAGGAGACGTCTCATGTATTGATGCTGTGGCTAAATCTGTATCCACTTAAGTTTTAAGTAAAGTGAAACCACTTATTGAGAAAGCTGGTTGAATAATGTTATTTTTGTCACTACAAATGAAAAAATATATATAAATTCTAATCTGTAGCTTATACTGGACAAATTTTGTTTTTCAGTGAACACCTTCATAATGAAAGCTTTCATCCGTGGAAGGGAAATCTTTGGCACACCAGTAATGGCAACTCCTCCGGGTTACAGGAATTTAGTGGTAAGTAATTAAGTTTGATTAAAATTTTTAGACATGGGTAATTGGTAATCTTGTGAGAGGTGCTTTACAATTGTTCACTTTTTGGTTGTGTTGTCCATGGTGGCAGGTTCGAGAATTAACATTGTATGTCATGGATGTAATATCTCCGTTTTTCCCATCGTTTTAGGTGACCCACATGAATTTTTATTTTTGTTCTATTTTAATGTATTTATGGTGAGTATTCATTTCATTATACATTTACTGGTGTTCTTTATTGATTTATTTAGTATGTTTTTAGTTTGATTAGTTTTGGTTACATAAGTTGTCTAAAAGTTAGCTCTTAGCATTACATCCCCTATTTATAACACCATTGCTATGAGAAAATAGTTCTCACTTCATGAATTTTTGCTTAATGCATGTTTTTCACAGGAGATCTAGGTAAAAAAAATTTTATCCCAATTTCCCCAATTGGTATAAGATTATTTTTCTAGTAATATTTTTTTTATGGGTTCTGACATTTGTTTCTTGTGGAAATGAGCTGTTTTTTTAATTTTTTAGATTTATATGAGAAATTGAAAAACGCCCCAAAATGGCTCGTTTCCACAAGATAGACGTTGAGAGTCGAATACCTTAATAAATGCCAAAATACACCATATAAATAATTTTTCATACCAAAAGAGGCTAACCTAGTGACATATGCCTATTGGGGTGGACTTGACCTAACCTAATCTAATCTAATCTACTATTGCCACTTACTTATCTGGGGGGCTGGACTGGGCTTGATAATGGTAAAAAATCTGAAATACCTATTGGGATAAAACAAATATTAACCAAGAACCATTCTGTATAGTGAGAATTGCTTGAAATTAAACTAAATAATTCTTCATTTGTAAAATTTACTTTGTAGGAAACATTCATAAACATATGTATATATTTTCTTATTTGACCTTCCAGTTCATTTACATAAGTCAATCAATTGTCATTTTCAATTTCATACTGTTGTAATCTTGGAATATAAATCAGAACTACTGTATAGCATTGGTTTAATGACCTAAGGACTCAGGCCCTCTTCACCTCCTTGTGGTGGTTTCTTCCCCAGATGTATCATCACTTTGTGTATATCATTCAAATCCTTGTGAATTTTGCCTCTAGTTCTTTACTAAAGGGACTAAAGATGTTGACAAAATCTGTCGTAAAATTACTTGCAGTATCAAAAAGAACACAGTATTGTTTATTATGGGAGTTTATCCATAACTGACTGTAGTTTACATAAATTTGTCTGGAGTGCAATGTCTTATTTTTTGTATGTAAATGTACTTAGTAGGGGGTCTGGTGAAGGGGTGGGGGATATCCCTTTGCTTTCCATTAAAAGAACAGTTTTCAAATGCTAATTTTCACCCTAATTAATTTTCTGTAAGATTTGACACATTTCAGATAGTGTCAAAATTATTCCTAGGTGTTCTTAATTCTTCTTTGCATTTGCTCCTAACTGGTACTTTTGTTCCTGTTGAGCTATCACTTCTTGTTGAATCCATGTCTGATCCAGCATACTACAATTCTAGCACTGAAGGTAAAGTAGGTTGCATTACAATCCTCTGAAACTCTCTTTGATGAAGTCCATTCTTAAGTTGCCATATATTTTTTACCAATATCATGACAATCACTGTTTTGTCGTGTTCTGTCTGTTATTTGGTATTTCTTATATTACTGTTACTATCTTAGATGATATGATAAAATTCAGACATTCATCATAGGCTGGTTATAAACCAACTGCTAAATAGGTAATCATGCCTTTGGGACCCATTTTAAACATGTCATAATGCTGCTGCACATAAGGACTTTGTTAAAATATTATGCTTAAACATGCCTTGTATCTCATCTTTTACTTTTAATACACCTTTCCGGTGCAACTTTCATGCACCACACATCTTTCCTTTTATACAGCTCTTCATGTACAGGGCATGCTACCTCACCCTATCAAATAAATTCAAAGGCAGTCATTTTGAACATAAGGTTGAGTGTTGGCTGTGTAATTTAATTTTATGTGAATCCACCCATGTTACTTTCTGAGGCAAAGGTTTTTTGTTTATATAATTTACAAAGTTTGCCAGTTTGTCACATATTTTTCTTTCTTTATTAGGACTATCTCTTTGACTCCAAGCAACTCACTGATGGTGCTCCTCCCAATGATCGAGGCTGCCGGTTTTGTGGGAAAATTGGCCACATACAGAAAGACTGCCCTAAGAAAAGGCTGAATATGGAAAGGAAGGAGAAGAAGGAACGACAAAAAGATCGTCGTGAATTACGAAAATTTACAACAGAGGCGGAGGACAGAGAAGGGGAACGACAGAAGCAGTCATCAGAACAGAAGACAACTCAGGAAGCCCAAGAATCAGAAAGCAGAGGTGTAGGAGGAGGACCAGCATTGCCAGCTGCAAGTGGGGCACCTCATACACTTAAGACCCCTGAAGGTAATTTAAAGCTTACCATACCTCTGGATATGATGGAAGATCACTGTGAAAAATGGGAGAGTAACCAGGAATATCGGATAAAAGGAGATAAGATATTAGGGATGAGACGGTATTCTCTTGAATCCTTTGATGAGAGAAAGGTAGGCAAGGAAACATTAATATGCCATTGTGTACCACCTCAGGTAGATGAACGGTATATTTGGACAGTTAATTGGAATAAAGCCGCAAGGAAAATATCAGATGGCACTGATATTTCTCCACACCCTTTTTCGTCCATCTATAATCTAATATTGAAAATGGTTGAAATACATATATATCAAACTCAAGAACCAGATCAGAGTGACAGCCCGGTAGTTTGTGTAAGTAAAGTAGAAATCCCTGAAAATGTTGGTCAGGTTCTCTTTGAGAAGATGAAAGAAGTACAAGATAAACGCAAACAGAAAAAGAAAGAGAGGATGAAGGTTCGTTACAGAAGGGAAATGGCTGGGCCAGGTTACAAAAGGGGACAAAATTTTGAACCTGGGAAGAAAGGTTCAGTAAATTTAGGGAATAAAGGCAGTGGCCGGTTTGATTTACAAAATCCAAACAACTTACGTGGAAGTCAAGAAAATAATGGCTATAACAGATATAACTTACCAGATCGTACAAGTAGAGATATAAAAAACCATTATATACGAGCTAATCCAAATAATCCCCAGATCGCTTGTAGTTCGAGCGAGGATGAAAATTTTGCTCAACGGGTAGTGCGTAGGAAGGGTAAGCAAAAGATCCATCCAGATAGTGCTGTGCACACGGGTCAGAAGAATCATAATAATAGTAAAGATAGTGGGAATGTGCAGGGCAATGTAGGTGGCTTTAAGAAGAGTAAAAAGTTTAGCAGTAAAGAAGGTGCCATCAAAGCTAAGCATCAGCCATCCCTTGGTCTGACATGCAGACTTGTGCCTGTTGGACCCGAGAAAGAAATTGTCACAATTTCACAAACGACAGATAGATCCACTTGTAAACAGCAGAATGTAGTCAAATTGACACCTGTTCCACATTCAGAAGTAGCTAGAACAACAAATTCTGCTAACCACGAGTCTCAGGGTACATTACCAAGGTCAGGTGTTGTTGTGACTCTTCCAGGAGATGGGTCAGATTCTCGTTTGGTTACGGTGATGGATGGTGCTACAAATGGTGCTAATAGCCATAAAAAAAGACGTAAGCCCAAGCCTAGAAAGGGCAAAAAGGGAGGCTCAAAATTTGAGTCTCAAAATGAGGGTGAGAACTCTAATAGGAAGAATGCCAATGTAGATTAGTTCATGGAAGTGCTGCAGGTCATGTTATTTGAAATTTTATGTAACTTTGTGGCTTTTGTGGAAATTGTACAATTTGCTTTTTAAGTTTTTTAAAGTATGCTTATTTTGATCATAATGTAAATTCATGAAGTAATCACAGACTTTCATTAAAAAAATAGTTGTCAAATATGTCAAGTATGATATTTTAATCGAGACTTGATGTACAATTGCAAGCAAGACATTTCCTCACCCTGACCCAGTGGAAAGGATACAGGTATTGCAGTTTTCAAAAATTATGTGCAAGAATGAGGAAATAAAATTAACAGTAAGATTGAGTTCCTCCTTGTACACTTTAGCCCTTCATGCACTCGGCAATAAATGAGTTCACTGTTGGGTGCGCTTGCCAATGATGAAACAACCCTTTGGTGGACTAACACCCTGCAAAGGGGTTGAAGTAATCCATCAGCTGCTGAATATTAAATCAGATCATCCCTTCTCCTGCCACCTAGCACCATAGCTGGTGCTTGTATAAATGGAAAAAATTATTCTTTTATCTTTAAAAGAATATTAGTTTTCATAGAATGAATATACTCTGGGATGGACTATTTCAGCATTAGATTTCAGTGCTTTTGACTGGCAATCAAGTATTCTTCTGAGGACATTAAATTTTTTTAAGCGTGAATTATGCAAAAGTAGAAAGTGCATTTCAGGGAAAACTTGTGATGTACGTAATATTTTGCTTGTAATTGTATGTTTAAACATATATACTCTATATATTTATTAAAGTAAACCATGCATATGCATATAGCCTATACTGAAGTAAATCTGGATGTGATATTTTTTCTTCATCCGAAATTGTGATGTTTGAGATAGGTCTCAATTTTCAGTGTTTAGTAATGTTCTTCCCTCGCCTGCTCCAAACCTGTATTTCTCTTGTTCCCTTCCTTCCTGTTCCCCTCTTTCTGCTCTGTCTCTTTTCCTCATGCTTACCATTCTTCGAATCCCTCATGGTGCAGATGACGTAACTACAGCATTGACTACAGATGAGAGCTTCTGTGTTAGATAACGACCTACTGTGTTTGTAGTGCCTTAAGTTTCATGATGAATGTTATTATGACTGGATCTTGTATAAGGTAGTTGAAGTAGATAGGGTAAGTGATTAATATCTGACCTGGTAGCTAGTATGAATCTGTTTTTACATCTAGCTTGTGGATGCAAATATAAGTTTTCCAGAGAGATATATGAATGGCACTGTTTTG